TATAAATATATATATAAATATGTATAATTTTTTTTTCCTTTTTTTTTGGGTAATAAAAAAAAGTAATAATAATAATAATAATAATAATAATAATAATAATAATAATAATAATAATAATAGTAAATAAAAATAAATAAATTTCTTTTGTCCCTTTTGAGGGGGACTACGCAGTAAAAAAAAAAAAAAAATCCCCCCCCAAGTCTTTCGCATCGTAAATTTTTTTCTTTCTTTTTTTTTTTTTTTTTTTTTTTTTTTTTTGTAATATTAAAGCAATTAATTTTTTACAATCGCCATTGAGAGTGTTTTTTTATTTTTAGGTTCGAAACGAAATCAGGCCCGAGTTACGTAATAAAAAAAAAAAAAAAAAAAAAAAACTTAAATTGTTAGGCCGTAGATTTTTTTTTTTCTTTTTCTTTTTTGCGCGCGCGCCACACCAACAAAAGAAAATGTTTGTCTGTGAGTGCGTGAGTGCGTGTGTGAGTGCGTGCGTCCGTGTGTGTGTGTGTGTGTGGCGCACGTGCTGTAATTGGTATCATCAACTATTCGTTTTTTTTTTTTCGTTTTTATCGTCAGGTACCTGCTTTTTTTTCTTTTTTCTTTTTCTTTTTTTTTGTAAGCTTTAATTAAGGTTTTTCTTCTTCCACCCTTCCCCCCCCCCCGACTTCCCCCCGGTTAAAGACGTAACGAATTGTAATAGCGTTTAAAAAAATTGCTGTTGTTGTTCGTTGATGCAAAATCTCGATTTAAAAAAAATGAAATAATTTGCGGTTGCGAATACGACAAATGGGAACGAATGTGCGTGAACGCATGTATGCACGCATGCATGCACGCATAGACGTGACCTTTCGGATAGGTTGCAATTTTTACAAACTATCAAATTAGGATTCTGATAAAATTTTCTTTTTTTTTTTATACATAATTAGAACGCGTTAGTAGAACTTTAATTGTAGTAAAAAAAAAAAAAAAAAATTAGTCATTCATGATTTTTCACACATAGTTTTCTTCTCACATTTAGAATTTTGACCAATTTTTAATAAATATTCCGAAATAAATGAATTATGTATATTGCCATAGAATTTTTTTTAAAAATGGTGTAGGGAAAAGAGACAGAGTGATAGTAAGAAAAAGAGATAGAAAATAAATATATATATATATACATTATTGAATCGTTGTTGTTGTAAAAAAAAAAAAAAAAAAAAAAAAAAAAACACGGACGTTGTTTAATCGAAATGCACGAATGTATGAAATTTTTTTATAATTTTATCATCATTATTATCATTATTATTATTCTTTTTTTTTATACACACATATATATATATATATATATATATATATATATATATATATATATATATATATATATATATATATATATATATATATATGTATATTTTAAATGTTTAAAATTTGGTGATTATTGCCAAATTTATGGTTGATTATTATTATTATTATTATTATTATTATTATTATTTTTAAATTATGTTATTATTTATTTTTTATTACACGGGGAGTACACACGCGAATGTGTGTATGCAATTAATAAATTATTAACTTATTATTAACACGGAAAAATTATTATTTATTTTTTTATTAAATTTTCCCTTACTATTGCGTTCGAATTGTTGACGTCATCGTCTTCGTCATCATCATCATCACCATTCGATCACTTCAAATCGTTAAAAGTTAGTATGGTGAGGTGGGGAAGGGAAGGGAAGGTTGGCGCGGGGTTGTTTAATCGAGTATCATCGAGTTAAACGGATTGTCATTATTATTATTATTACTAACCATTTATTTGGTTTTTTTATTTTCCGCAGTTTTGTTATTATTATTATTATTATTATTTGTTTCGTAGGTTTGACCTCGTATTTCTATTTTCGCAAATTATGTTTTTTTTTTTTTTAAAAACAATTTTTATATCGTCGTCATTTCATTACCTGATTACCCTCGTCGTCGCTTAAAGAGAGAGAGAGAGAGAGAGACAGGGAATGCCAAATCATTTAATTCTTTTTTTAATTTGTGATTCTCAATAATTCTATTCATTCATTCATTCATTCATTATTTTTCATATAAATTTATATTCAAGGTTAGTGTGTTCGATTTGCGGCCGTCAATTTATTAACACGTTCATTTTTTTTTAAAAATTTTTTGTGATTATCACGGGGAGGATGGATAGGGGAGAACGGAATGAAAGGGAGGGAGGGAGGGAGAGAAAGAAAGAGAGAGAGAGAAAGAGATAGACAAAAACAAATTTAAATTTCAGGGATTTTTCGGTTTCGAAAATGGATTTTTAAAAATTCTTAAAAAAAAATTCTGTCGGGACAAATCTGTGTGAGTTTCACTTCCCTCTCTCTCTCTCTCTCTCTCTTTCTCTTGGTTAATCATAATAATAATAATAAAATCGTTGCACTTAATAATTAAAATAATAATAATTGTAAAAGAATTTATGTAAATTGAATGTTAAGGTTACGGCCGAATTGTCCCTATAAACGTTATCCGTTACATTTTTACGGTTTCGCGCCTTTTTTTTTTAAATTTAAATTATTCGAATTATTAAGTAATTTCTTTTCCTGTTGCTGTTGCTGTAGTAAAAATCGGGGAAAAATTTTTTTTTTAAATACCGCCAGAGAGAACGTGATTTAATTAAAAGAAAAATGACGACTTTGAAACGTTAATTCCCGTTCAAGTTTTTTTTTTCGTTTGTTTGTTTGTTGTTGTTGTTGTTGTTATTAAACAATAAATCGGATGCGAAGGATTTTTTTTTTCTTTTCATTTTTGATTTTGCCATTGAAAAATTAAGGAACTAAAAAAAAAAAAAATATTAAAAAACTTTTAAAAAAAAAAATTAAAAAGGTTAAAATTAATTTTCCAGGAAGGGCCTTGATAAATTATTATTATTATTATTATTATTTGAACGGAAGAAGGAATCTCGAGATTGGAATCGAATAAAAAACCTGGATCGGATTATTTGTAAAATCGTTTAAAAATTTTTATTAAAACAAAAGGTATCGATTTTGTTTTTACGTATTTTTGATGAGAATATCAATTTTTTTTTTATTTCACGTACGCGGTTTCATACCTGAAACCTATTTCCGTTTTTCCCCTCCCCCCTTAATAACTCGTACATTAATTTGAAAGTTGAACTATGTGAATTTTAATAAAATATTAAATTGACCATCGTGGGAAGGAAGAAAGGCAGGCACGTTATCAAAAAATTTTTTTTCTTTCTGGAGAAGTCGTTAAATAAAATTCGCGGTTTTTAAATTTTTCTTTTTTGGTTCTTACAATAATAATAAGAGTACGTTATTTATATGATTATTATTATTATGGTAACAAGATCACTGTTAAATAACTGGAAAAGATTCATAACTGGATTTTTTTTTTTTTTTTTGGAACTTTAATTGCCGGAGTTGATTAAATTTTAACGTTACGTACGTTTGAATTTTTAAAAATAGTTTCATGTTTTTCACAGTTTGCGACCTCATCATTCATTTTGCCATCAAAAACATTCATTATCTGATCCATTGTGAGGCTGAGCATATATATATATACGATCCTTTTTTTTTTTTATCCTCCCCCGTCGATCTTTTTTTTTTTTTTTTTTTTGTAATTTAAAACGTTTGAAAAATTTATGCAGAAATATATGTTAACGTCAGATTTAGACAGAGAGAGAGAGAGAGAGAGAAATACCCGAAAAAAAAGATATATAAATAAAAGTATTTATAAAAAAAGAATGAAGGAATGGTCGCAGCGGTCGTTCGTAAAAATTATTAATTTGTCTTATCAACGTGTCTGATTATTATTATTATTATTCTCCAGCGGTTTACGTGAAAAAGTACCCGTTTTGGTCGGTTATCAAGTGAGGGGGGTGGGAGAGAAAAGAACTTGAAAGGTTGTTCCTTCCTTCATTCCTTCTTTCCTTGTTCTTGACATCTAATTAACATTTTTTTTTTTTAAATCCCGGTGGTACGTTGATAATAAAATGGCGGATTTCCTCAGGAGTTTGCATGCGAGTGCGTGTGTGCGTGTGCGTGTGCGTGTGTGCGTATATTCGAGAGTTAAAAGCGTCGGAATTATGAAAATGTATATAATTTTTTTTTTTATTTTCCGTCCGTGAGAATCGTCAAAGGTTTTATCCGGTCTCGGCATTTTAGCGTCACTGATTAATTAACTGATTATTATTATTATTGTTTTAACCTTTTTTTTTTTTCTCTCTCTCTCCCACGCCGACGCAAATTGCCGCTATCAAAAGTGTTAAATCCAACAACATATCCTGAATTATAATCTTACCGAGTAAGATTATTATTATTATTATTATTACTTTTTTATTTATCATTTCCGCAAAATTTTTGTTTCAAATTAATTTTCTAAATATCTTATAAATTTTCCAGCAGATTTTCTTTTTTTTTTTGTACTCGTGAATCTTTTGGAAAACTACCCTTCACAAATCGTTATCGTTTTAAAATTTAAATATGGCGTCGGTTAAAATAAAA